TTCGGAATTCACGTTCTATTTGCAGTAATGGCCTATTAACGTCGATCAAACTGAAACAGAGCAAGACATGTTTGATAACTTACTAGTAATGTGTGTATGGTTGCAGAGGACAAATGGCCAGAAGCACCATCATCGTCCTCTTCCGATGATAATTGGGCTGATTTTACGGCGATGAAACCGGATGATTGGCCACCGCCGCAATCACAATCGGAAGATGCCTGGCAGGTGGATGATGGCGAAAACACAGTGCTTAGCCCCACGGCAGCAGCAGTAACTGGTGGAATTGTGTCAGTTATTATGGCCGGAGCAACATCTAACAAGTCATCTTTTTACATTATGAAGAAAATCTTCATTATCTTGCTTTTTTCCTCTTTTTTTGGTGTGCACTTCACTTCAGGTTCGAAGGGCCTGGTACAGTTACGCGTGATTCAATTCAACTTAACCGTGATTAAATGCAAGTCAAAAGTTAAAGCCTCGCAAATATTGAACATTTCAGAGAAAAGTTCTTCATCTTTCCTGGGCAATCAATATGTTCTTTTTAACATGACGGAATGGGACACTGTACTGATGATTTCTACCCCGTTCCGCACTGGTTCTGCCGTCTGTGTTTACAGCTCAGGGATGAAACAAGAGAGGCTACCAAAGTCCCTGTACATACAGGCTTGCTTATTTGGGAGGTCTAAGTGGCGCTTCCAATTGTCAAAATTGTCAAAAATTCGATTGCATTCCTTTCCTGTTGTCAAAATTCGATGGCGTTCCTCCTCACAGTGGGCCAATAACGCCAAACAAACTGCATATGTTAACACATAGAAGATTTCAGGCCCCCGTCCTCTTCTACTCCTTTAGCCAGGGGTATTTAAAATTTCCGCAGCATTTGGCATCCTGAGGAAATCAGGTGTGTGCCGACACCAACGCTTTCAAGGTTTTCGGGTGGTTTCCTCTTCTGAGTAGGCTCACGTGCAGGTGGTGGGGGTTCCGATTGCCTGGAATGCCTTGGTAGCGCAATTTACTCTATAAATGAAGAGACGAGTTGTAGAGGGATTGGTTGTTCCAGCAGCGGAGATGAATTTTAGACCTTCAACATAAAAGCAGCACTGTTTGCCACTGCAGTATGCCTGCCAACTGGTTTTTCAGTTTAGTTAGGTTTGATTTTAGTTCGACTTAATTTTTAATCAAATTTTTTGATTAAATTAATTTTTGGTTTATTTTTTGATCAAATTTTTAATAATTATAAAAAATCGTTTAATAATTATTTAAATCTTAATAATCTTAATAATGATCTTAATAATTTATTATTTTTAATTGAATTTTTGACTTGTTTTTTGATTAGTTCGACTTGATTTTTAAATTTTTTTGGATTTTAAATTAAATTTTCTGACTAGTTAAATGTTTGAAGAAATTTACTATTCAACCTAATCTTTGGTTAGTTCATTCCTTTCTCCACTTATTGTAGTATTTATTTTTATAATAAAAAAAGATTTTTGGTCTCTCAGAGCAGAAAAATAATTTTTACTTTATTTCTTAACAAATTTTTTTGCCGAGCATCATACATTTTTGACAAAATTTTCTTTTTTTTCAGAAACATAACTCGCAAAACTTCGGATTCCTGAAATGGAAAAAGGCATGAATGTGTGGGCAGGCAGGCAGGCGAATCAG